GAAAATGTGACCTCTAGTATCCTCCAGTAGCGTTTTAGAAGCAAAAGGGGTGTTTGAAGCACTGTTGTCTTTATTCTGAACGGGTGGTGTTCAACACGAGGCAGAGATTACACATTGATACCAAAATTGGAAAGCATATGCATAGATTGTCTATCATGTTTGCGGGCGACACCAATGTGGATGACTACCCTAAGAAGGTTGATGCGTAAACCTTGTTGTGAATATATATACGTAGTGCTTGGGATGCTGAGGGTTACACCCGGTTCTCTCGTTGAGCCGCTTAGCCATTGTCGCACCGAGAACGCGAGACCCTGCAAACCTCATCGTCCGGTCTCATCCAGTACTGTAGATGAAGCGTGCTTCAAGGTATTTGTTGCTCCTTATAGTACACTTTGACCTGACAAACCCACTAATTAATTGCTCAGGACCCGACAAGACCACTCCACCGAAACGGGCCGGTCATCGCAACCAGAGCAGAGTGACATCATAGGAGGCCATTCGCAACGGGCAATTCTACCAGCTAAACTTTGGCCGATCCTGGCAAGGCAGGAAGAAAGCGGCTGGTGTTGCCTGCGGAATCTTTGTGAATAATTTCCACTACCAAAATGGGATTGGTCAAGGCCACTACAAAACAAAAAGCTAGGTTGTGTTGGATTCTGGGGAATAGATCAGCCAGCAGTTACTTCCTGAAAAGAATTGATGGGAAGCTGACTTGCCCTCAATAGTGGTTTCGCCCCGCAAACATGACTTTTGAGACAGTCTAATTGCATGTCGACAGCTTTTTTGACACCTTATTCGACACCCGGACAAATGGTTGTGGTTTTTCAAGCAAGAAGTCTCTCACGCTCCGTGTGGCACACTGACCAATGGACAGACAGAATCGCTTGCAGACGGGAGGCCAGTCCGGTCTTTTGTTCGTTTGGCTAGTTGTTGGCCGTTCGTTGTGCATAAGTGTATGCTTGCTCCAGCATTCCACCCGACGGTATATTCCAGTTCTGTGTTTGTTGGACCCATGTATTGTCATGAAAGATGCCAAAGTTATATAGCCCAAGCATTCCATTCTTTGCTTATTGTTCTACCACGGTTGGAATGATCAAGCTCTGAAAGTGCCGGTAGAGTTTGAGGTTCACTGGATTTGACTATCATGACTATATATAATATACTATAATTGATTATACAAGATTGGCGTATTCCACCAGGCTGCTACAAAACAACATTCAAGATTGATGACCCCGTGTCGGCTGGTATGGCATTACACTTGTTTCCCTTAACGTTTCATGTATTCTGCCGATGCGATGGGAAGGCCCATTGCAGGAAAGTCCTTGGCAGCTCATGTTGAGCCTTGGCAGTGCGTGGTTGGAACCACCGCCGTCGTGCGTCGGTCGCTCGGTTCCAGTCCTTCAGCTCGCTGTCTCGGCGTGCCGGTGGACCTTGGTGGAAGCGAAATCCCATCGACCACGGGAAACCAGAAAGGACGCTGCTAGGGGCTCCTGGCCTATTACTACTAGTAACAATAAGAAGCTACTATATAGTAACAAAGGGCATCGCGACTAGAAGCAAGGACGCTACTAGTAGCTCCTAGAAACCATTGGACTGAGTACAAGGGGGGTCGGTCGATGGGGTGTCAGTTCGAACCGAGACATCCCCGGAAGGGAACTGAGACACATTTCTGTGGTGAACAGAAACGAGACCCCAGGATGTGACTTACATACCGTGGGTGGGCAACTTTCTTGCATGACCCGTAGCCACATGTGAATACGTCTATGCCTCCACACAGCGATGCGTTTCTTATTTGGATCTGCGGGTTTCATAGGGTTTCTACATTGAGTTATGTTATGTTGTTTACTTCCCATGTTTACATGGTTGGTTGCAATCTTCCGCATAGCTTCAAATCAGGTTCCACACTATCCAAGATCCACCTCTCCCAAAGCCAAAAGCTGGATTTGGTGTGTCCAGCGGCATTGCTTATTCTTTGAGAAGAGTCATTTGACGGCTTTCGGCATTGCTACCCGACAAATTGTAGCGAGAGCTACGTGGCCGCGTCGCACCAGACCGGAAATCGAAATGGACTCTCGCTTGCCTCGCCTTTCCACCAGGAAGTGCAACGGTTGGATCGTACCCTTTCAGCTCCCTCCATGGTGCGCAAACAACTGGGCCCAAGTCCAAAGCCTCCCTTTTTATGACTCCCACTCGCATCATCGCATCGCCTGCGACACGCCGTGACGCCCTCGTGGCCAAAGAGAGATGCCACAAGCGCCCCGTCCCACGATGCCACGAGTAGTCGTCAGAATGGATTTCGACTGCAATTTGATCTGATGTTAGTGGTACCATGCGTACATATGCTTATACTATGCGTATACTCTATTCAATTCGGTGTATTTGTGTTTATATATGTACACTCAAGAATGGTATTGTTTGAGTATGTACATGTACATGTGGTCAAAGTGTCACATGATTGGTGAGTTCCAACAAGTTGCACCTGCCCTCGACTGCACTCAAGATGCAGGAAAGGATTGTTCATGCAATCTCGAATCTGGAGTCACAGTATGTTTGCAACTGGTTGGGATTCAAGATTCAAGATGTTGAAAAAGTGCTTCTTGAAATTAGGCTGTTCAAAAGAGCAAAAGAGCTGAGGCAAATGACAAAAAAGGGGAAAGAATGTTTAGTGGATAGATTACATTGTTGCACAATGCGTACCTATAAGGACAGCAAACGGGTTCATTCAGCAATCGGAGTGACACCCAACGAAGCAATCGCACTTCTTGAGAACTGACCATAGAGCTCAAGAAATGTCAGGAACAAAAGGTAGGACAAACGACAAACCTATTGCAAGGAAAGTGACTGTCCCAAGTTCCTTGTGAGGCCCGAGTTGCTGAAATCGAAAATAAATTAGCTTCAGAATAAAAGAGGTATCGTCATCGTCTTACACATTAACTGCGATGGAACACGATGAGCAGTTGAAACGATGTTCAACAATGTTCAACTTGCAAAACTGAATACCTTTGGACTGTATCCCTTTTGCTTCTTCTGATCATAATCCTTTGCCCACACACCACCCAAGCTGGATAGCTACAAGCACAGCTACCAAGCATGGGGGCACGCACTGGGGCAACCGCTCTTGAGCACTACAGCTGCTCACACGCAGTTTCAATTGTTGTGATTAATGAGTGGGATACAGAAAGGAATAGAACCAATAACAAGAACCAAAGATGTGCTATGTATTTAATGACATCGGAGCAAAACAATTTGACAGAGTCCCAAATATTGATTTTCATGTACTAAGTATGTAGATGATACCATTATTATGTTTACTGACAACAGGGAGTTGTTAAAGCTCACTGAAACTATCTCCTGCAAATAGGGACTGCGGCTAAACAAAGACAAGCGTGTGGCGATACAAATGAACAATGATGGTTTCGTCCATGAAATAATGAACCATTACCAAAGCAGTTCGAAGCGACTTATTTAGGAATCGAAATCAACGAGGAAGCAAACATTCGACGCAAAGTCTTGAGCAAAATGCAAGAAGTAAGGCAAAGGTTCAAATTGCTGCTGTATTGGAAGGCAACAAATGCAAACGTGAAATGGCAAATGCTTATTTTTGATGCTGTTGTTGGATCAAATTTGTTGTACGGGCTTGAAACCCATACACCTCGCGGATGCCATGCTGAAGAAAATTGATGCCTTTCGACTACGGTGCTTCAGGATAATTCTCAAGGTTCCGTCAACATTTATAGACAGAAAAAGAATATATAGATAAGTTCTGAATAGATCTGAATAGATGTACATCGCTGGCATACCCAAATCGAACGTTCTTTGTTTTTTTAATATATACCACGGCCTTTTTTTGGTTACGCCAACGCCCTGCATGCATGTGAAGTGCGGGGTACGGCTGGGCAAATTTTAATTGCAAAGATGCAACGAGGAAATGCGAAGCAAAGGAGGAGAATGAAGGGCCTTTAAACAACAATATTTGTTTGCAAGAACGAGACCGTTGTAAGGATCGAGTGTAGATAAAGAATGATGAAGGAAGGAAGCCCTTGTAAGAAGGAAATGTTCATGGAGGCCCTTTGTAGAGATTTGTTGCTCGGATATGATAGAAGACAATGTTGTCAAGAGAACTCATCTCAATGAAAGAGATAAAACAAGAATGCACTTTTAAAGTGCAGTTCAAAACGGCCCGTATATCTATATATAACTCGTGTGAAGGGATTCTGTTCGAAAGGTAAAGGAAGTATTTGGAAACAGCTTTCGGCATATAGTTATTCTGAGGTGCCCAATACGGGATTCGCTTGTCTATTTTTCCCAGAATCAAAGAGTGTGGCCACACTAGGGATTCTTACTTTAGTACTTAAGGCCAGGTGTTTGATCGGTAGGTGTCTAGACCTAGAGTTCTTTCATCTAAAGACCTCCAGATTTCTAGGTCTCCAGACCTTTTGAATTCTACACCTCTAGACACCCAGATCTCCACACCCTCTCTGTATCTCAAGACCTCTCAGATTTGTCTGGATTTCAAGACTTCTAGAGCTCCTAGACCGCACAAACTCTAGATCTCTAGAAATTTGAGGTTACTTATCTCTGAATCTCAAGACCTCTCTGGATCTCAAGACAGAGCTCTAGGCCTCTAGATCTCCGGATCCCATGTCTAGGCGTTTAGGTCTCTTTGGATACGACCTCTCTGGACGTCTAGACCTTAGACCTCCAGACACACTGTTTGGGTTCTCTTGCCGATCACCGATCATCCCAGGAAACTCTTCAAGCACAATGCAGCTCCCTATTCGGGCTTTCTTCAGCTAAAGGCCGAACTCGCTTGTGTTCGGACGAGAAGGGGGAGTGTCAAAGTCGCTCCACTTCGCTAGGTTGTGTTGTTCAATGTCCATCAGGGCTGCTCCGTATCAACCCATTGAGATAGAACCCCCTCCATTCATTCAGTCTGCAGCGAAAACCCTCACCCAGGTGCTTGTTTGATAAAAGTCTATAGCTTCTTAGTGCAAATTTGATGCAGGTAATCTGCAAGTCGCCTGTGTCACATGGCGACCAGCATCGACCAGAGCCATTTTATTTGCTCGAGAGGATCGAAGGCATCAAACCTTTGTGAAGGTTTTATGAAGCACATGGCTGTCCGGAGTCTGGTAGCTAACCACGCGCAGTCTGTTCTGAGCGTCATCCCGGACTCCCGTCGTGTGGGTCGAGTGGACCGATCAAACAGCAGGGGAAAGCACTGAAGGTGCCAATAATGGTTCTTTTTTAGCGGCTGAATGTTCAGGTGGCTGAAGAACTAATCAAGTGCCAGCGACTTCCAAACGGTTGGACTGTGGTTCCAGGTGTTTTTGTTCCGCAGTCAGATTAGAAGCCCAGAACCTCCATCATGGTCACTGGTGAACCTCCCCTAGTGAATCAAGAAGAAAGGGTGCACTTTGACACCTGGGTTCAACGAAGTTTTGCTATTCCGTTAGGAACCCACAGGGCTCGTGTTGGTCTTCCTGGGGGTACAATGACCAGGCTCTACTGCTGCGATGCTAACCTTACCATTGCAGCCTGAGTCCAGAAGCCATTGAAGCCTGCAACCACAGTTGCCCTCCCAAGACACCAGCACAAGAGAAAATGGTCAAACAATTTTTGTAGGGGACGTCCTCACTGTTTGCTTCACTTCCACGCCATCCATGTCTAACGAAGGCCTTTGCCACATCAATCTCTCACAAAGCCCAGCAGCAGAACCTTTTCGAGCGTTTGGGACACCCGAGTTTGTTTGCACCCTTTTAATCTCTCTTCCACATCACGTGGCAACCAACAATGGAGCATCATGCTAGATGCCCGGTCTCAGACCGATTTCTTGACAAAACAATCTTTGAGCTTTCTCAGGAGGCTATGGACGAGCTCTGCGACACCATGCAAAACACAGAGCGAAATCTTGGTGACAAGCATGCTCATCGGGCCATTGCTAAGCACCAGAAGGACCTCGAAATGGCACGTGAGCAGGTGAAGAACTTCTTGATCAAGAACGGATTTCCCACCAACAACGTGAATTGCAAGAGGAGGCATTTCTTGACTGTGACCTATCCATTACACCAAGCAGTGAAGCAGAACAACCCGTACATCACTTACAAACTCTTGATCTTTGGCGCCAATCCCTTGGCCAAAGATGTCTGGGGCCGTACGGCCTATGACTATACCAAGGGTCACGCCTCACATGAGAAGATTCGGCAAGTCTTTGAAAAGCTCGGAATGTCTCCCAATTCTCCACGGTGGCATGCCTCCTCCAAGCTCCAGCTCACTCCCCCTCCCATTGGCTGGGAGAGGTTCTTTGCAAAGGTAGCGCAAGATCCTTTGGCGCCCGGGTGTGGAACGAAGTAGTAGGACATCGAACGACGGAATGAACGGGTCCAAGATGTTTGATAGTAGAGAATCATTGCGCTGCTGGACTCTTAGACTGTGTAACCATTCAAGGAGCCAGCATACTAGCCCAACAGTCAGCCGCGCCGGTTGGATAGCAAGCCTAACTCAAGGGATAGTCTTGTAGCGAAATGCCAAAAGATGGCCCAGGCCCTTTATGAAGAAGTGAATGTCAAGCCTGTGCAAACTGATTCCCACCTGTTGCTGACCAATGGCAATCCAACAGTGTGGGAATGTTCGCCCAAGCTGTACAGCTTATTTTCACATGTTCTGGATCCTATTTGTTTACAAATCCATACGAATCCTCTTTATTTGGCTGAGTCATGCACGGTGCAACAGCAGCCCATTTGCATCCATCTTCACAATTCTTCAGGCCACATGTCGCTTCGCAATCTCTCCAAGGTGCAAACACCCAACAGTGAGGAGCAGTGGTTCCAAGAGCTCGGGGCACGATCCACTCGTGGATTTGCCCGCACGACCACGCAGCGTGTGGAGCCACGCGCGGCGTAGGAGGCGACGCAGCGAGAGCTGCGTCGCAGAGCGCATGTTCAAAGGGTGGATCGAAGGGTTGGACTCTGTGCGACTCTCGGTTGAAGGGTTTGCATCAATGCTCCACTAAGTGTTAAGGTTTGCGGAATGAGTTGAATAATAATGCTGTTATTGCTGCAGTGGGCCTTATGATGGGTGATGCTTTCAGGAAATGATGGGTGATGCTTTCAGGAAATGCCCCGTAACTTCAACGACTAAGAAGAAGAGGGGTCGTAACATGTGATTTCACTTTGATTACCAGCACAAACGTATAGACCCAAGATGACCCACGTATATATATATATATCCTCACTGTCCAACTTAAATCCTGGGGGTGCACTACGCTAAAAAAGAGAGTTGTTTTCAGGGCATATAGGAACAGGCCACCCAGGAGAGAAATCCTGACTTGGCCTCTAAGTTGGAGAAAGGGGGTTGGGGGGTAGGATTTACTTGTATTGAATAACAGTCTTGGAGGGGGTTTCAGTGGACAGGAAAAACATGTCACTGTTAAAAAGTTGTTTCTCCATCTTCTTGGAGGTAGGGGGTCAGGAAGAAAACCTGAGTGAATACATGACCCAAAACCATGCTTGTTTTTTGAAGTGATCATCATCGCCCTTTTTCTTCTCTCTAATATGTATTTGATATGGGAGATGTTTGAGAAGATTGCGAACATTTTGGGACTAAGGGAAAGGAGAAGAGGGAAGCAAGAATCAGCACACTACGACCATGTGCTCTCACCAGTTGTTTGCCTCCTAGGATGTTTGCAAAACTATGAAAATGATAACAACAAATCAAAATACACAGCATTTATGTCCTTGAGGGTTGACCATATTAGGTTGCATTACCATCATTACCCATATTCAATGCTGACAGTTGAGGACAAAAATGCCACACCATTCCAACCCACACCCAGACTCATCCCCAAAGACTGGACTCACACGACAAAATCTGAAAATTCAAGGTGAAGCTACTTTTGTCCATTAGGGCTGACCAAGTCCAATGACATTCACCATTTGCAAGGATGGTGCATTTGGACAAGAATCCACACCATTCCACATGCAACCCCCCACACCCAGACTCATCCCCAAAGACCCGACTCAAATCACAATTGATGAAAAACTTAGGTGACAGAAATTGTGTCCTTTGGGGCAGACCATTTTCAGTGAAATATGTTTGTTCCAGGGTGACTCCTCTGGAAAAAATATCCACTATTCACTGTTCCATACACAACCCCCACATCCAGACTCATCCCCAAAGACCAGACTCATCCCCAAAGACTCGACTCACACCACAAGTCTGAAAATCTAGGTGAAACTATGTTGATCCATTTTCTAGGGCTGACCACGTCCAATGACATGAACTTTCTGCAAGGATGACCTATGGACAAAAATCCACACTGCTAGGGGTAGGCTTGTGATGAATGCCTGTAGTGCCCCCACTAGTGCCCCACAAAAAGGGTCACTTTTTTAAACAAAAATAAGGATATCCTTTTTTGGTAGGTTTTCGTGCCACAGTTGCTTCACGCAGCATTCCGCGTCAGTTCACCGTCTCTTCTTGTCACTGCATTTGGAAGTTGTTTTTGAGGTGGGGGAGGTTAGGGGACAGGACAAAAAGGTACAGTAACTCTTTAAAAGTTGTTTCTCCATGTTCCTAGAGATAAGGGTTAGGATTTAATTTACAGGTCATTGCACTCTCTCCTGTATCTTCTTGGCCTACTGTGTGGTGATGTTGAGGGCTTAGCCAAATTGGATAAACATTCCCACTCAGAAACAATTCGAGTGTGAGGGCCTCCCCTTGCAGTCCACAGGGGGATTTTATATTATGTACTGTACTGATTTGGCCCTGACTCACGGTCCAGGTCGATAGCTTTCTTGTTGCGGTGCTTGTTCCCGTGAAATTCCGAGCGCCTGGGAGTCCAATAGCGGGGCAAAATTCTCAATACAGTAACTAATCTCAAGAGGCCCAGGCCTTGTCAATGTGATGGGTCACCCGAACCCTGCGAAATACGAATCCTCCAATTGGCGAGATAGCAAATCTCCATACTAATGCTAGCCGCTAGCCGGGACAGCTGTTTTTTCGACAGTTTGCCTCATGTGCTGCTTGATCCAAGCCCTCAGGTTGAAATGGAACCTGAAAAAAAACTTAATTATAGAATCTTATACATTGATGCTGCGTCCATCGACTGTTGATCCGCCCTCAAGTGATCCTCAGAAATTTCAAGCTTACTTTAACGATGTCGGCAGATCTTGGTTCTCGCAAAGATTGTGCCAGGGATGTCAGCCGGATAGTTGTGCAGCGGCGTCCCAAATATATCTAATTGACAGCGATGTTCAGCTAGGACACGATGCACTCATCCGCAGAGTGCTGGGCAGTATTGGCCCAATCGCCAATCGCGGCCCCCTGTGAACAGCGTAGTGACCTCACTGATGAAAATCAGTGGATACATGTCTATAAGCACACAGCAGTGTTGTTTTTCAGTCTCTTTGTCAACAGAGCAGACAGAGCAGGCTGGGTCGCGACAGGTATCAGCCTGACGGCCAACAAAAAGAGAATGTGGCCAAACCCTGAAAAGGTTGTCGGTCAAGACGGACACAAATCCTTAATTAACCTATTAGTGTACCGGACCCCCAAGAGAATCTCTGCTGATAGAACGCATCTCGTCGATTGTGTCGTTCTTTGCTGCTACTTACTGGGGAGTTGGGTTCAGTTTTGACCGCGCCCAAATCCTGTGGGCTGCCTGGGATACGTTTAAAGATTTGGCCGTTTGATTGCCCATTGCGCATTGCCATTGGTACCCGTACATGTGCATGCAGAAGCTAGCCCGTGCTTGGTGACATGCCATGTAGAAAGCTATTATTCCTCCACTATCAGTCTGGATATGAGCGACCAGTGGGTTGCTTGGACCAGGCTACTTAGTGGATTAGCAAGCAATGGTTCTCGATACAAAGACCTGTGACACATTCAGAGAAGAATCTGAATATGAATAAGCTTCTTTTTGGCACTCCTGGATTGCGGGTGTCGTGCATAAGTACGGCCGGCAGCATTGGGATGCATGTTTGACAAGTTCGTTTTTTTTCACAGAGAAGCAGTGTCGGCCAACCAGAAGTAGTTTCTATCGGCTGTTGCTGTGGACAGCAGGGAGCTTGATTGCCCTTCGTGGAATCATTCCTTTTGGTTCAAGCATGGTCTAGTGAGCACGGTAAATCATATTGAACCAGTCTAGTGACTTGGTCCACATGTGTGGCTACAGCTTGCAGAACGTGTTCAGGAACTATGTTGAACTCACTGCAGACAGGACTCCACTCAGTCCGCTCAGCATCGAAGAAGAGAAGTTCTCATTATCAAGTAGAATTCTCACATGTGTGAAGACATCTCGAGAGTAAGCGTTCGATTCATGCCAGTCAACACATCACCAAAGTCGAAGGCACTCGAAGGCAACGGCTCCCCCAGCACGAAGCGCTTCCAGCAGTTGTGCTGCCCGAAGCTTCATCTCTCACGCCACGGCGGATTCATCTAATGGTCTCCGAAGGGTCTCCTAATGAATGGTCTCCACCTGTGAGGCCCGGAGTGAGTGGCTGCCCAGTGGGGGGCGCCGAGTTTCAAAATTCGCTTGCAATGGAGCTGACTGAGACAACTGAAAGTCTGACGATTGTGACTGTTGGACGTCAGAAATTATCTATGGCCTAAGTGCCTCCAAATCCATTCAACAATTCGGATCCAGGATGTCCAGCGCTAGTAGCACGCGCTGGAGCGTTGGAAAGGCTACATGAATGGACGTTCATCAAGTTCAGTGAATTAATTAGAAAGTGGAAACGGGAAGAAATGAGCCTGACAAAAAGAGATTCAGCAGAGTGCGAAAACAATTACTGTATCTACACTGACACTAAGAACTTGGGTTCTTTCCCTGCACCATGATCAACTCATATCAACTTGTGTATTCCAGACAACACCCCCTTGCTTTGTGTGTGTTTCTTCGGAACTCAAAGTGAAGTAATTACTGTAGATGTCTCTTTTTTGAGACATCAGCATTCCAAAAGCCAAAAAATGCGAAAACAATGACACCATGCTTGCACTTCGACCTCCGCCCACGTGCGACTCAAATAAGTCTCCAGCCAACCAATCTTCCACTGCATGGGCTAGCCGCTACTGGTAGCCAGGAGAGGGCCCATCTTCCTGTTACTGCGACAGAAGTTTGGCCAATGGATAAATGGAAACAGTTACTTTTACAAGCATTTAGAACGTATGGAAACGATTGGGTGTCAGGGCTTTGTCATAAAATTGTATCTATATTATTATATAATCGGTTTGGTCACCCATCCGTCAGTTCCTTTCCAAGTCTCTAAGAGGCACCCACACCCAGCCTCATGTGCCGGTGGCGAATAGACACTTCCACCTGGAAAGAGACGACAATGAGACCCCAAAAAAAAGTGTTCAGACTTGTTGAAACGTGAGGGAGGCCTGTGTGTGAAACCCTTGGAGTCACAGGGAATCCGTTGATTTTTACTAACAAGCAGGGGGCAGCAGGGGGCAGCAGACAATTATCTTGTGTGTGTGTGCGCATTGTGTATCTATCTTGTAGACCTTTTCCTAAAGCGCTGGCATGTTTGGACCTTCGCTGGTGCACAGAAGGCCAGTCCGATTGGTCCGCGACATGTCTTTTAAGACCTGTCTTTGGTTGGATTACAAACATACACGAACACACAGTACAAACATGCATATCCACTGTGGTTGTATCTCAGTGGGTTACGGGTGACTTGTTCTCTGGGTTCAAAGTGTGGCCGCTTCCGAACCGGGCTCACCGACTGCTGACTTAGTTCGGGGTCTCTAGAGCCCAAAAACCCTTTGAGTCTGGCGTGCGGACTCAACAACAACTTTCAACCGCTGTCCGCCGGAGGTAAGGGCTCATTGACCACCTTTGTCAATATCTTCCGCCAGAGGGTTGCAAAGCATTAAGACACAGAGCCGTTTTCAGTTGGGAGAACCCGCAGGATCTTTTGAAGAGCTAAATAGCGTTGCAGCTACCTGTGCATGTGTGTATTGCCGCTACATACTTTGATTCAGT